TAGGACAGCAGATGGAAAATGTTTATGTCAAAATAGGTTGATTTGCCATTAAATTACTTGATAGGATGCGATATTATTTGAATTTATGAGTCAACTCTACTGCAATAAAGATTTGCATCTCAAACCAGATTTTCAGGGCACACTATCCAATAGCGCTCTTCATAATCTGGCCATAATTTTCCATGCCAGCCTGCGCTCCTGCCACTCCCCTATTCTGTATAACCACATGGAAGCATATCCTATGATCTCTCACCCTTGCATGCCTGTGAATGTGCTGTTCCCTCTGCATAGAGTGCCCATTCTATACCTGGTGAACTTTGGGCTTTAATTCCTAAGATCCAGTTCAAATACTGCCTAAAATTTTTTGTGACGTCTTTATGTCCTTCCCGTATGAAAAGAGTCTTCCCCTCCTCTATACACCCACAGCGTGTGTACACATGTCCATTACCATATTTATGACATTGCATTATAATTATCTGTTTGCGTCTCTCTTCACTACCAAACTCTGTGCTCCTTGAGGTAAGGACGGCCCCCAACATTGAGGCCACTGCTGAGGCGATGAATGAATTAGACTCAGGGAAGAGCTGTTGAAGTTTAGTAGCAAAATAGAATTAGTTCTTCACAGAAAATGCACAAGAAAGTCCAAATGGATTTACTACTCCTTTATTACTCGTTCAAGATAGCAAGCATGTTTATCTTCTTTCCTCTGGAGACCCAATATTATAATAGTAAGATATGTATTTTTTTAAGTATAATTCACAATATGTGGAAAGTAGAGTAGGGAAGGAAACTACTAGAACTGTAATTTGAGCTCAGAAAAATATATTTACAGCAAATTTGTATGAGAATGGAGCTCTTACATCTTGTTTTAACTTTTAATAGTATGGAAAGTGTATAAAGTAGTTTGACATTACCAGTGCCTCAAACACTAATTGTCAAAATAACTTTCTACAGTATAAGTTTCTCGTATAAGTGCTGTTTTGCCTTGTAATTTTAGGTTGATTTTATTAAGAAACAGTATCAAGTATCAAATTGTCAATCATTAGAAATAAATTATATGTGTAAATCATTACAATATAAAACATAGACAGTAAGTATCAATTTGATAATTCAGTATCAGCTTAGCAAAAGCTAATTTCCAAAGCCATTCAATGTTCAATAATAGTGGTTGAGGGTGGTTCTTTTTGTTTAGAAAAATTTCAGACTCAGCCCTGAGCTCAAAAATCACAGTAAAACTTTACTGCTGCTACCTAACTGTTGTGTGGTAGAGGAGGTCAGCATCTATTTCTTACAAAAATTCACAGCAATGACGATGGTCAAGTCTATGAGAGCAAAAGAAGTTCATAACTGACATTACTAGTTCAATAACACACGACAGACTCACGTTTTTTCCATAAAGTACCTGCCAATCGATAATATAATAACGACAAGCTTTAAACACCTTGCATTTTCACAAGTTTTGTACACTTGTCCAACTAACTGTTTTTCTGCTCCACATATATTTTTACAACTGTCAGTTGTTACACAGTATAGATTTTACGTCAGGTCTTACTGGATGACTAAATTGTCAACTTCTTTGAAAAGATCCTTGTCTGTAGTTCATTCATACAGACTATTCATAGAGACTAATCCTTTAGTCTCAAACTTGGCATTGATGCTCTAATTAGTGTCAAAAACTGATCAGTATCAGTAACTTCATGAGCCAAGAAGAACAGCTGGGAATCATTTGCCTTGTTCTATAATTGATATTAATATTGGCACCAGTGTCCTGGACAACTGTTCTAATCTAAAGGCCAGCAGTGTAAACGAATGTTCTCAGGACACATTTCTTCTGCTGTGGCAATCAAATTCCTTTGAAGTCGCCACTGGTAAGTGGCTCGCCTCGCTTTGCTAACCAACTTGGAGCTACTTGGACGCTGACTTTGGTTGTGGCCTCATTTTACTTTTTAAAACGTGTAGATAAATTCTGCTGCGATGAGATACGCTGCTTTAAATTATCCTATTTTTCTGATCACTTTTTTCCTATGATTTGGGAAATTGGAATGACTGCTTAATCTTCTCGTGTCGCATATATTGTATTCCTTTACCGTAACTGTCGTGTCATTGCATAATAAACAATGCTCTGCCATCTAACTCAGTAACAAGGTGATTCATACTTCACTGTGCCTCATGAGAACAACATTTTCACTCTTTTCTTGTTTGTTTTGTTGTTTGTTTGTTTTATATGAGCCATCCTGGCTCCTGTTGGCAGCTCAGCGGCAGCTCAGCTCGGGCCGGGACTCAAACCGCTGTTGCTCAGAGCGTGCACTCTTGAGCAAGCTCTTAACCAACTGAGCCACTCGGCCGGCCTACTCTTTTCTTGTTTTGGTATGATAGGTTTGCACCAGCAATTTTTTTAAAGATTAAAATAACAGTGTACTGATAATATGTGGCACATAAAATGCTGTTGAGTTACAATTGTATGCCATTTTGCTTCCCTATTGCAAATATACTGAGCGAAGAGGAAATGTAGGACAGCAGATGGAAAATGTTTATGTCAAAATAGGTTGATTTGCCANTGGCTTGGGACGCCAGAGGGCCCCGGTTCAGATCCCACATATGAGGGCCAGTGACACTGCCCTCCACAGCTAAGATGCTGAACAACAGCTCAACCCAGAGCTGGGTTGCCGTGAGTCGCCGGCGACAGCGTAGGCTGCAGTCCCCTGCTGCAGTGGGTTGCCATGGGCTACCGTGTGTGGCCGGCAGCCAGCATGAGCGGCCAGCGGCCGTCCAGAAGCCGGCGACTGATCTGCCTCGCCAGAGAGGAGCGCAATGATGGTGCCAACTTGGGCCAGTGAAGCAACGTCCTCCACAACTAGAATGAAGAACAAAAGGACAGCAACTTGTCTGTTCCCCTTCCCCAATTCCCCAGCACTGTTCCCATCCCCCCAGTTCCCCAATAAAAATCTTTAAAAAAATAAAAAATAAAAAAATAACAGAGCAAATGCTGAGCACCAGTGAGCAGTAGAAAAGAAATGCCAGTGGGATACAGATGGGTTCAGGGGTGCTCTGGCTGCCAGTCCCTTGACCTCTAGCACTGAAGTGGTGACTGGTTAAGCTGGATAAACAGGTGTTTCTTTCCTCCCTCATGGCTGCCCATGCATACCTCCAGAATCTATGCACTTGATTGAAAAGGATGACCTGAAAGGTACAGGAGGATTGGTTGTTTTTCAAAGGTATGTGAACACCACACTTCCCTTCCAGATCTTAAGATCCATTTATAGTTCAGAGAAGAGAAGGGTCAGAGTGCAGCGACAATTTCTGTGGTGGGAACAGGCTAGCAAGGTAGGAAGGAATCCAGCAGAAATACCATTTTATATATACCATTTATGAAAAATATTTATATAATGTAGATGTATAAGAAAAATGTGTTTATTTGTATATGTGTGTGTGTATACACATGTATACATACACACACACACACACACACACACACACACACACACACACACACACACACAAACGGCAGTTTGGAACCCGTTGAAAGAAAGCAAGGAATGTGTGCTGGGCAATCAAGTCATAGACACATATAGGATGCACATAAAAGAGTAGGACAAAAAAGAAAAGAGAGAAAAAAAGAAGAAAAAAAATAAGAGAGTAGGAAAAAAGCCTTAAACGTGGAAGGTACTCATTAAATGTTCAATGAACTGGGGTAGTGAGACCAGCCAAGAGATTCTCACAATCAACATGGCACTGAAAACTAATATGGTGCCAGTTACAGAAAGGAGGACCTCGAGAGAGCAAGCCATTAGAGAGAGGGCTGGAACGTGCTCTGGCTTTAGAATAACACAGAAATTGATTACTTCAAAATTACTTCCTGCCAAATATTTGTCTCTTTCTATAGAAAAATGAGTAAATCAAAAGAATTTAGTTTATTCGAGTTTCACTGTATCTGGAACAGAGGCTATCCAGGATACATAATTTCGGCAAGTGCAGTGCAAAATATATATAATTTTGGAGCACTACAAAAACCAAATGTCATCTTGATATTACTGGTTAAAACTGTGTTATGCCTTCCCCTACTTCCAACAGGCTACTTCCAGCGAGAGGGAAGAACAGGGCCAAAAAGATTATCCTTCCTTATACCTTTTCCTGCTTTCTGCATCCTGGTACCCTCTGAGCTGGTGGGCTAGTCTTAAGTCTCTCACAGAGCCACGTAGCCACAAAGGATTTGAAAAGGCCATATGCATATACTTAAACTAAAAATATTAAATGTTAAACACATTAAAACATGATATTGGCCCTTCTCTTATGTTTTCCAATCCTGCTTTTCCCTTGATCGCTTCGATTATCATGCCAGGGTTTATTTCTTGAATGTTTCACATATAAGGCCCTGGACTTTTTTGTTTCAATATAATCTGGTAGTTATACTCAAGGCATCACAAGAAAACCACAGGTCAGCTCTGCATTTGTCAGGATGAGTACAATGCTTAGTGGTAGATAGAAGAATAGTAGAGAATAGAAATCTTTATCTATGTTGATAGGCTAGAAATGGACATTGTAACCATGGGGGTACTTTCCACATTTGTCCAAGGTCTTAGTCAAATGCATAATACACAAACATGAGGGGAAAACATTTGTCTTTCTTTGGATAGAGGGCATGACAAATTTTTATTCACTATCGTCATTTTTATGAGCTCATTACACAGGGGAAAATCTCCACAAAGATTAACATAAGTTTTGATCATTTGATATTTACTCACGTTGGTCCAGAAGGAGGGTACATTGATTTTCTGCAGTCCTCCGTCCACTAAAACACAAAGAAAATGTAAGGTTTCAGAAAATTACAAACGGAATAGGCAATTTTCAAAAACAGTGAAAGCTTGCGACAACAAAATCAAGTAATGATTTGCCCTGTTAGACCATTCAGTACCTCCTAAAAGACCATTTCAATCTCCTCCCACAAAAACTTCTAAAATCTCAAACTTAAGTAATTTTCAACCTCAATTCAATTTGCACTCGTGCCCGGTATTATAATTTTGCTTCCCTATTGCAAATATACTGAGCGAAGAGGAAAT